ATCATATGCCATTCCCGCACAAGCTACACTGGTGCTCCTGCTATGCCATCTCTCTTTGCATACCCAGCTCGTAATTGGCGAACTGCACAAAATAAGGATCAGTTACCTGCTTTGGGATTAAAGCTTTCAAATCTAATGGATAGACTTAAGGTAAGTTTGTGATTCTATTTAACCCTATGAAGATGGGGCCTGAATTTTGTGTAATTATAGTATTATGTAGCTAGGCCTAAACTGTCTACAGCTGACCCACCCATTGCGAGTCAGAGAGTCATGTATATGCCATAGGCCATTACATTGAGATGGCTGTAACTGTAACCATCAAGAAGGGGTTAAGATGTTTTTTTTTTTTTTTCCATTATTGCTGTGCAGACACTAATATCATACTTCTTTCTTGTAGGAAGCATCTCAGTTGACAACAGCAGCCAAATTTTCAGAGGCTCTGGATAAACTGCGCTGGATTTTACTTGCTGTTCCTCTCATTGTTGTGGATACAAAGCAAGAGGTCAGTGGTCACTAATCTCTCTTTTTTTATTATTATTTTTTTTTACTAGTGTTGTGCTATTCCAGGATGATGATACAATTACTGCAGATGCATCAATTATGTATATCCATTCATTTTTATGTGAATTTTAAGTTTAACTTACTGGTGACCTGTTTATTTGTCCATTAAATTATAGAAAGTGTATATGGTCAGAAATATTTATCCTGTTTTTGTTTGGAAAGAAATGCTTAACCCAATGGAAGAATTTTGGGTTCACTTGGTGAATATGTTTTGGCGTATTTAACCCAATGACACCGGGAGTCCCATATCTGAGACACCCGAAAAAAAATAAATACTCTGCGCGTTCCACCAGTGTAACGCTGTGTCGTGGTCGCGCTCCGACTTAGCCGCGGGCCACGGCCACGGGCGCGGGCGGTCAGACTTTTTTTTTTTTTTTTTTTTTTTTTTTTGCTACAAAATGTACTCGGAATGAGTGAATATGCATGATATTAATTTTAGTTGCAAGATTAAGCCTCAAGTAACCTGATTATGTACATTAGAGTCCATTTCAATAAATTATAGGTGTTACACTCTGTACAAGATGGAATGCAGTTTTATTAATAGATAAATTAAGGTTTTTCTCTAATTTTTGCAAATTATTCTTAGAAAATAAGACATTGCATGTTGTTGCTGCTACTCCCACAACTTCAGTACTTCCCTTTTGTGTGTGTAATTCAAGGCAAGCACACACTGGCAGAGCAGCAGTGTGACTAAAGAGTGCCCTTTATATAAAATAATAGCTAACCAGAGCATTGCACATCCTATTCTCCCTCATTGTCACATCTCCAGGGATGTGACAGTGAGCATGAGGTACCTTATATAATGCATCCAAGATTTTAGTTTGGAAGGGTGAGGTTCAGTTCTGTGAAATAATTATGGAAATGATTGAAATACTGTCTTTCTTTACAGATTACAGAAGCACAGAATCTGCTAAGAGTGTGCAAGGAGTATGTGGTTGGTATCAGCATGGAGTTGTATCGTAAAGGTTTGGTAAGAGTAGTGCAGAAGAACAACAGCGTTCCCTTGAATTGGCGGCCTACTTCACACATTGTGAACTACAACCTGGGCACCAGATTTTGACGCTGAGAACTGCAGTGAATTTGGCCTTTAAGATGAAGAATTATAAGATGGCCATGAGCTTTGGTCGTCGTCTGCTAAATCTTGGACCCAGACCAGAAGTGGCTCAGAACATAAGGAAGGTTGTGCAGGTATGTTATCGGCAGTTATTGTGGCTTGGGGTGGATGTTATAATATTGTTGATCATATTCTCTTACTGTCTCTCTCATGTGAGAATAGCTAGTTAATTCTAACTTTTTTTTCTACTCTTTTCTTTTACAGGCATGTGAGAAGAACCCAGTTGATGAGATGTCAATCCAGTATGATGAGCATAACCCATTCACTGTATGTGCTAGTTCTTATGTACCCATTTACCGTGGAAAGCCAGAAGTTCAGTGCCCATTGTGTGGTGCATCATATCTGCCAGAGCACAAGGGCATTACTTGCAAAATTTGTGATGTTGCACAAGTTGGCAAGGATTCCATTGGCCTTCGCATATCACCACTACAGTTCCGATAGACAATTACAGAACAAGTGTGAGGTTCTGGCTTGCTGGATCTAAGCTATTGTCAGCTATTGTATCATGTTGAAAGGACCAATTGTGTGGTGTTATGTACCCGTGAAAAGCAGTGTATTTTTTTTTTTTTTTCTTTTTTTTCCCCCCAGTGAAAAAGCAGTGTACTTGTTATTTATAAAAGTTATATTATGTATCTTTTAGAAGTTTTAAGGAATTGGTTTGTTTTCATTTAATTAATATCCATAAGATAAGCCATATACCAGGTAATATATTGTCAGTTTTAATAAAAGGATATATATAAAAGTTATACATGATTTAACCCCTTTTAACTGAAAAATGTATTGCTCATGAGGAAACAAGTGTAGCTGTTGTTTGAAATACGTTAA